CCTTCAGAAATACCTAAGCCCAAACCTGCTTTCTCTATTTGCTACCACTAAGCAATTTGAATAGGTTATCGTCACAACTCCCACTTTCATTCTTCCCTTCCCTCACTCTCCTGCTCATCCTCTAGTTTCAAATCTTCACGATACTGAAAATACCCTTAACCAAGATTTCTAACAACCTTTTCTTGGCAGAGCTGTGGAACCAGTACATTCACCTCATCCACGGTTTTCCTGCAGCCTTTAGTACAACTGATTTTCTTGTCAACCTTCTTCACCTTCCCCCCATGTTGGTCTTCCTCCTACCTCTCTAACTGCTCTTGAAAGTTTCTCTTCATCTTCCCTCTTTCTATTAGAGTTCCTTAGGGCTCGGTCTTTGATCCCCACTCTTTTTCCTCTAAACTTTATCCCTGGGTGATCTCATCTGTCCACAAGGTTCCAACTATCATCCCTATGGCTACGTCTATACTGAAGCATTCTTGCAGAAAAGCATATGCAAATGAAGCATGACATGGAATATTGCCACGCTTTATTTGCATAAGTAATGAGCAGCCATATTTGCACAAGAGGCTTCTGCGAAAAATGAACCATGTAGACGTCTCCTTTTTGTGCAAAAACCCCTCTTACGCAATACCCCTTATTTTTTCAGGAAGAACGGCTCTTGCACAAGAGGGGGTTTTTTTGGGTGCAAAAAGGAGCCATCTACACTGCTCATTTTTGCGCAAAAGCCCCTTGTGCAAAAATGGCTGCTCATTACTTATGCAAACAAAGTGTGGCGATATTCCACACTGCGCTTCATTTGCATATGCTTTTCCGCAAGAAGGCTATAGTATAGATGCAGCCTATGATGGGGACTCACATATCTAGCTTATCATACTTGACCAGTCTCTCTCATATATCCAAATGTTTTTTCTGGTATATTGTCTGGTACTGTCTGTTGTCAGCACAATCTTGATGTGGCCAAAATCTGCTCAGTTTCTTTTCCATCCCAAAGCCTCTCCACTTCCACTGAGAACAACTCCAGCATTCGCCCTGCCACTATGGATCTCAATCCCTCAAGGTCATCTTTACACCACTTTCCCCTTTGATACATCTATGCCATTATCAAGCCACTACAACGTTTTTTTTTTTATCAGATATTTCTTCTTAGACAGCTAAAATACTTGTGCATGCCCTAGCCACCCTCTGCCTGAACTAATGGAAAGTCCTCCTCCCTGAAATCCAGACCACCTTCCCAAAGTCTGTTCAAAACACAACTAATTCATATTGTGTCAGCCCCCTGTCTGAATCCCTCTTGCACAGCGTATCCGGTTAAAACCTCTCAATGTGGCCATCAAAGCTTAGCATAATCCTGCCCCATGAAGACCTTGTTTTGTACTGCATTGCCCTCCAGTGCCCCTTTCTAGCATTCTTACCCTTCAGGGCTTTTCACATGCTGTCTATAGATGTATGAAAATCTCCCGTCTGTGTGAGGTGCCCCTTCTTCTGTTTGTTCAGTTCCCTCCTAATGACCAAAACCTGTGCTACTCACTGCCATTAACATGTGCCAAATACCATTTCTACCCAGATTTGTAAGGAAGGGACAGTAGGAATAAGAAAGCAAGGACAGTGAACGGAGAAAAATCTTTAAACACATATCCCCTTGTCTGGCGCGCCCAAGCTCATCACGCCTTCTGTGTTATTTAAATTCCAAATTGCTCTGTGAAAGAAGAACTCTGTCCTACACAGTGCTAAGCATAGATGCTAATCAAAATACTAAGTGAAGATCACAGGAAAACTTAGCTAAGATTCATTCTCACCCGGGTTGCTAGCCTCTCCATCAAATTCAAGGGCAACCCTCTGAACATGGACCTGAACAAGAGAGAAACCCTCTGAACATAAAAAGGGCAGTTTAACCTCTCACGTTTCAATTCTAGCTTTTTACCAAATTTTCTTTGGGGCCTAGGAACTTTCTGGCCTCAGTTTTCTCATCACTAAACAGGAATACTACCTGCTTGTTTACTTCACCAGAATGTTGTGAGGATTAGGTAGTATCATCATTACAATACTTTGAAGATGAAAAACACTACATGTTCTATAACAAAAGGCTTTTGTATATACCCTTTCTTTCAACCCATCCTGTGCATTTCAATCACTCTCAATCATATATCTATACCAGGAAATTTCTGACCTGCTTTTTCTAGCAATGGTGTAAACTCAAATGTAGGTGTGTTTTTACTACTAACTAACCTGCCTGTTTCTTATTAAATGGAATAATGGAATAATCTTTAGATTCCTGATGTAATGTCAGAGCACAATCTTTACTAGATTGTCTAACAAATATTCTTTTTTTAGCATGGTGCAAGGGATCCATTCTGCCAGTGGAGCAAGTTCTTGATTAGCCTGGGCTTAAAAACTTTTATTGTATCATCTGAGTGTACTGAAAAATTACAAGAAATTCACTTCTGTAAATGAGCCCTTCTATAGTCAAGCCTGTACTAGGACATTGCATTAGGAATAAAATGGTTGTGGTATTTGATTTGGAACAAGAAATGATGAACAAATTTTCCAGCATGTTCATAGTAAATGTTCTTTATCTCGAATACTTCTATAACAAGATTTGTGCTTATTTCCTAATGTTCTCAAACAGGATTTAACAAGTAAAAACCTGAGTAAATGAGCTTCAAAACCAATCCTTTATCTGGAAACTGCATGTACAAGTCAGAAAATGAAGCACAAAGTTTTCTGATTTTTCACCACATCCTAGAACACAAATTGCTGGACTGACGCCCACAATTAGAAATTGAATGAAGCAGACTAATATAATACTGAAAATATCACCCTTGCTCTTTAGTGCAGGATTTTAGGCACATGGAACAGTTTAAAAAAACCTCTAGCAAATTTCTGTACAAGGTAGTGCAGAAGTTGAAGCGAAAAAGTATTGTGTATGGATGTTTAGTACATAAATATAGAAAAACCTAACAATGTATTCCTTAAACAGTATAATAAATCATATACAGTACCAATTATCAAAACTTTTTACAAAAAAAGTTAAGTCTCTCAGAACTACAGACATAGGTAAATCTATAGGTACCGTATTTTCCGGCGTATAGGGCGACTGGGCGTATAAGACGACCCCCTATCTTTTTAATTAAAAGATAGGGTTTCATCTTATACCCCAGCGCCCCTCCGCCTCCTTTGCTCCCGGTGTCCCTGGTCTGCTGGAGATGGTCCCCAGCTTACAAAAAAAGTTAAGTCTCTCAGAACTACAGACATAGGTAAATCTATAGGTACCGTATTTTCCGGCGTATAGGGCGACTGGGCGTATAAGACGACCCCCTATCTTTTTAATTAAAAGATAGGGTTTCATCTTATACCCCAGCGCCCCTCCGCCTCCTTTGCTCCCGGTGTCCCTGGTCTGCTGGAGATGGTCCCCAGCAGACCAGAGGCACCGGGAGCAAAGCC